GAAGATGGCATAGAGTGCACTCTCAGAAAGTTTGCAGATGACACCCAGCTGGAGGGAGCAGTAGATATACTGGAGGGTAGAGCTAGGATTCAGAGTGACCTCGACAAATTGGAAGATTGGGCCCAAAGGAATCTCACAAGGTTCAATAAGGACAAGTGCAAAGTCCTGCACTTAGAACAATCCCATAGACCAGTACAAGCTGGGGGCTGACTGGCTGGGCAGCAGCTCTGCAGAAAAGGACCTGGGGGTTATGGTGGACAATGAGCTGAATATGAGCCAGCAGTGTGTCTTCGTTGCCAAGAAGGCTAATGACATACTGGGCTGCATTGGTAGGTGTGTTGCCAGTGGGTCAGGGAAAGTGATTATTCCCCTCAATTCAGCACTGATGAGGCCACATCTGGAGTCCTGTGTTCAGTTTTGGGCCTCCCACTACAGAAAGGATGTGGACAAATTGGAGAGAGCCCAGCAGAGGGCAACAAAAATGGTGAGAGGTCTGGGGGACATGATTTATGAGGAAAGACGGAGGGAACTGAGCTTATTTAGTCTAGAGAAGAGAAGACTGAGAGGGGACTTAATAGCAGCCTTCAGCTACCTGAAATGGGTTTCGAAAGAGGATGGAGCTAGACTGTTCTCAGTGATGGCAGATGACAGAACAAGGAGACATTGTCTCAAGTTGCAGCAAGGGAAGTTTAGGTTAGATATTAGGAATAATTTTCTCGCTAGCAGGGTAGTATAACACTGGGACAGGTTCCTCAGAGAGGTGGTAAAAGCTCCAACCTTGGAGGTTTTCAAAACTGGGCTGGACAAAGCTTTGGCTGGGATGATCTAGTTGGGGATGATCCTGCTTTGAGGACTAGATGACCTCTTGAGGTCCCTTCCAACTCTAACTTTCTACGATTCTGTTACCTAATTCTACAGACTTCTTTGACAAAGCTCTCACTGACATTAAAGGAAAGTGGACTGAGCCCCCAAACTCACAGAAAGGTTGGGCACCATAATAATAAGGTGCCAAGTGTTTCCTTGAGTGAGCTGAGCATCCATTGACAATTTTGGAAACTGAGCATAAAAAATTAGGCCCCAAACTAGCAGATTGCAGAACTGAGCCTACTGTCTTTTATACTAGCAAAACTTAAAGGTTCTTTTCCCCCATGATTTAACAAGCAAAATCTCAAACAGTAATGCCAGGCTTGTTTTATGATATATTCTATAGCACAAGGGACAGCAGGGTAGGTCCTATGAGGAAAGGTTGCGGGACCTGAACCTGTTCAGCCTTCAAAAGAGAAGGCTGAGGGGGGACCTTGTGGCCTGTTATAAACTGGTTAGGGGGGATCAGCAGGTGCTAGGGGAGTCCCTGTTCCCCCGAGCGCCGCAAGGAGTGACCAGGAACAATGGTCACAAGCTGGCAGAGGGAAGGTTTAAGTTGGACATCAGGAGGCGCTACTTCACGGTCAGGGCGGCTAGAGTCTGGAACCAGCTTCCAAGTGAGGTGGTGCAGGCTCCCACCCTGGGGGTTTTTAAGAGGAGGTTGGATGACCACCTTACTGGGGTCATTTGACCCCAGTGCTCTTCCTGCCATGGCAGGGGGTCGGACTAGATGATCTGCTCAGGTCCCTTCCGACACTAGAAACTATGAAACTATGAAACCTTTTGTCAAAAATATTTTTTATTAAAGTTTATTTTACAAGATACCAAACCTCAGAAACCTGCAATATGGGAAAACTTTCCTCGTTCCCCACTTTTAGATATGTCCTGGTGCAGATGACCCTCTTCACTAGTTGAAACAGACACTGCCTCTTGTCCCACATGTTGGGTCCCTGCCACTCCCGGAAGTGGCCAGGGCCCAATCCTGTGTGGCAATGCTCAGGGCACCCTTCTTCACCTGGAAGAACCTCTCATTTCCCTGCTAGCAGAGGAGTTCTTAAGGAATCCAAAGGTGCTTCTTTGCTGGTGGAAGACCCGTTTCCCCATCTGTACAGGTGGGTAACCAGGGAATCCCAGGCAGGTGCTTCCAGGGAAGGTGGAGAGTGTGGGCTGCCCACACTTTCCTGCCATAAAGCAAACAGATGTCTGCCACAAAATAATGGCACAAATTCATACCACCTATGTTGTAGACACAAATTTTGGGCAGTTACGGTACAAGAGGCTTGGATGCCTGTTTGCTTGGACTTTGTGCTGCCATAAAAAATTTTATGGCAGCACAAAGGTGATGTCTGCTTACACCCTCAGTTACTCGACTATAGTCAAAAGAAGTCTGTGGCAAGAGTTGGGAATAGATCCAAATCCCCTGAGGTCTAGAGCCTGTTTTGACTTCCCTTCTTAACACTACAGAGACACTACAGAGACAATACAACCATGGAAGAGTGACTGGGAACTTGTTCTGGCCTGTGCAACACCAGACATGTTAATTGACACCCTGCTACAAAAGTATTTTTAATTGCTGTTCATGTATCCCAGAACGAACAGGTAGATTTTCAGATCCTAAACTGAGTTTACAGTCCAAAAATAAAAATAGTTGGATTCCCCACTCTTCTCCACCCCATCTTAGAATATTGGACATGAAGATGAGAAATATGGGCCCCAGTGCACATACAAGTCCTTTTTGCAGTAATTAAGAAAAAATGTCTTAGTCTAAATAGTCTGCTGCTTTGAAAGGGCAACGTGTTAAAACTTGGACAGTTCTTGCTGCTAACAACTGCATAAACACAAAATTCTATGTTCCTTCTTTAGTAAAATTACTAATTTTACATCCAGGTTATACCAATAGATACCAAACCACAAATACCTTCTCTCTAAATAAATAGTTACCATTGCATGTTTAAAAAAAATGTAAGAACCTCCTGAAAAAAAAATCTAACACAGCCCAGTTCTTCAAACAGCTGCTACCACTGATTAGCTCCATTGGCTTCCTTTGCTTTCAGGCACAGCACTTGCTCATGAGTAGTTACTACTATTGATAGTAACCACTCTTCTCTTTTGAAAGACTAGGACAAAATTATCTTGATTACAATAGTTTGTCCAATAACAAAATGCAGTGGCTTCTGGAAAGAACACTGGAGCTCCTTTACCAAATATTAATGCTGAAAGGTAATTGAGAGTACAGACTGTATGTTAATTAAATGAAACAAATGGTAATCCAAACTGCTAGCATATGTGGGTACTTACATTGTTTTAAGGGTAGGAATAACTTTAAAAAGAACAGCGAGAGGTAATGAAAGGAGCACCGAGGAAGATCAGAGTCAGTCAAGAAGAAATATTACCACTAGAGATAGTTTAGTGGCCATTCAACTCCACTAATAATTCTGAACAACTTTGGAAAATCGTACTGTTTACAAACTGTTAGAATCTCCCCGTCTCCTCTGCCATTCTTCTTTTACTTAGAATATTGATGCAAAACAGTAACCTTTATTAGAAGTCATCTACTCCTTCCTTTTACTCTCTACCTAAAAGAAGGGCTTTCGCTTGCAACATCACAGTTTGTTGCTGGTGAAAATGTCTTATAAAAATCTCAGAAAATTATGATTTCAGGCACAAGTGCACCTTATCAATGGCCACATCATAAAGTGTGCATGCAGTCTCCAAGATGTATTGCACAATTGGATATACATATAACAAATTTCCTTTTTGTGACAACATAATTTCCTCAGCAATCAATGCTGTCACAATCAAAAAAGAGAACTTCACATAAAGAAGAAGTAGGAAGAGCAGATGACTGTGACACAAAGATAACTATGATTTAGGCTGCAGCACTGTCTCTAAAGATAGTTCTGTTATGGTTTGACGCCGTCTAACTAGCTAGATAACTATATTAGAAACTAGTTCAGCTAAAAGTGTTGTAAAAGGAGACAGTTTATGGGCCAGCACAGCTTGAACTGAAATGGTCTGTATAGTACCTCCCTTATGATGACTAGTAGGACATGTATAGCATTGTTCTGACTTTTCAGAGCTGCCAGGTACCTGCAGGAGCCACTACTGCTATTCCTGAATAAGCCAGGTCTCCGTACAGCTAGCTCAAGGAGGGCAGGAGCAGCTCTGGATATCCCCCCACCTCCGGATCAGCCTGAGACAACTCAGACAGTGGTAGGAGAGTGGGGAATGGAAGGAGAATTGCACTGAGCAAGGGAGGGGGTGCTGAGATCAAGGGCCAGGGCAATATTCTTACCTTATTTGGGGACTTCAAAAGAAGTCCCTGGCTTTGGCTTCCACAGCATTGGCTGCCTACCCCACTGGTGAATGGGGACTGTGGGAATGGGAATGCAGCCACCCCAAAAGTGCTGCACCCCCTTTTACAAAACCCTGGATTTGCCCATGCCTGCATCTTCTGTTAACACCTATGATGCTCATACGCTCAGCACATAAAACTACCCAGCCATTGAGCTATACAAACATCAGCTAGTGAACCAATATATTTGTTGCATTTACAGCCTTCAACTGTCTGGGGTTAGCACTTATGCTGTCTTACTGTAGGCCAGTGGTTTTCAACTTTTTTCATTTGTGGACTCCTAAAAATTTCAAATGGAGGTGCAGACTCCTTTGTATTGTAAGTGTGGGTATTCACATACTTTTGATTAATCATAGCCATCTTTTGTGGACCCCTTAGACATAGTCTGCAGACTAGGGTGGCCATCATAGACAGCAGTCTGGTTGTCCTCTGTCCTCTATTGATACGAAACTGGATGCCTTTATGTCCTCTATTTTTCTTTTGAAGAGAAAATGAATGCCTTGGAGAGAAAAATAGAGGACATAAAGGTGTCCGGTTTTGTATCAATAGAGGATGGAGTAGCAGAAAAATGGAATGTCCTCTATGATGGCCACCCTACTGCAGACCCCCAGGGGTCCACAGACCACAGGTTGCAAACTACTGCTCTAGGCCAATGGGACACTTGGCATAAGAAGGATTTGCAAGCTCAGGCACTTCCATAACTAACAATCAATACAACTCTCCCCTGCACCTCAGATAAGTAAATCAAGATTATCCAGGTTAACTTAAAAAAAAAAGGCACAGCAGGATGGTTAAGTTAGTTGCCCATGGCCATGCAGGTGAATCAGTGGCAGGGCTGGGATTAGACCTCCTGAACGAATAGTTTCCATGCCCAATATGTTGTCACGAAAGCTCTGATGGTTCAGTGTTCAGAGGAGTATATCATGTTAGTTTATGAAAAGCTTATAACCCACAGAGCAGGATCTTCACATAAGTTTGATATTGCCATTGTTCACTGTGTTCGAACACAGTAACCTTTAGGCTTTGTGACCAATCAATATTATTCACCTCTACACCACCCATAGGCTAGGCACAGAACATTACACCCTCATAAAATGCTGTTTGCTTATTATCACATTGATAAGGATTCTATAAAAAACACACAAGCTCTCATTCTTTTTTCATAGCACCAACTGTATTCTACTTTCTTCTCCTTTTTTGGTCTTCAGTTTCAGCTCATGGAGAACAAAAGACAAGCTTTCTGACAAACCTATCTTGGAAGATAGAAAATAACATCATCTGAAGACATACAGACTACTACATGGAGAATGGGCCTATTGAATGCCAAACACTCCAGAGTAAAACAAGCTCAGATATTAATGCTGGGGCTTGATTCATCAGGGAAGTCAACACTATTGTACAAGTTAAAATTGAATGATGCCTTCCTAACAATCCCAACAATTGGTTTTAACGTCGAGATGCTTGAAACTGGGAAAGATTTTGCTTTAACAGTCTGGGATATTGGAGGGCAACAGAAAATGAGGACACTTTGGTGCGATTACTTGGAGAATGCAGATGGCCTGGTGTATGTTGTAGACAGCACTGATAAACAACGCCTAGAAGAATCTAAGAGAGAATTTGAACTCATCTTAAAAAATGAATGTATAAAGAATGTGCCTGTGGTTTTGCTAGCAAACAAACAGGATCTTCCTGGAGCTTTGAATGCTGAAGAAATAACCAGGAAATTCCATGTCAAGCAGCACTGCAGTGACAGGAACTGGTATGTACAGCCCTGTTGTGCCATCACTGGTGAAGGCTTGGCAGAAGCACTCCAAAAAGTAGCAGTTTTTGCAAAACACTTTAGGAAGTCAAAAGAAGCTTTTACTTTTTTTAAGCAAAATGAAAAGCTGTGAGTGCTGATCATCTAAACCCAAGGAAAGTTAATACAAACGTGTGCTTGTTTTTTGCAGCGCTAACCCTGAAAACTTGATTCATTTTGTAGCGTATTATGGAGTATGTTTAAACAACCGTGCTGTATTTGCATAATTCAGAGCTCATATTTGGCAGTGTTTTAACTAACAATATATTTGGGCTGTCTGTCAGATGTGTGCCTGTATTTAAACTAGGTAACAGTAACGGGGTGCATTTTTATGCTCCTTAATTTAAGCCAGCAGGAATATAATCTGTGTAGAATGCATAAAATGCTTATCTTAAGTAGTTTTCATAACATGTAAAGGAGCCAAGTTCAATGAATCATTGAACAAGCAAATTAAGGACAAAAAATTCTTGTGGACGTGCTTTTTAACATGATAATTATAAGGAATATGCAAAGTAAATTTAATTAAAGAAGAATGAAGTAACTGACTACTACTTTGTAAAATGATTAAATTACATAGAGATTTGAGAGTTATTTGTAGTAATATTCATGTATGTGTTCTCAGGATTTCATTAATGTGGATACATTTTTGTTCTAATATTGTAAGTCAATCCTGCACAGAACTGAACCTTCACAATTCTGGTCTTTTTTATTATTTTTTTAAAAGAAACTCCAAGAGGCCCCAATCCTGCTATTAGTGAAGGCACCTGAAATATTGTCATTGACTTTGGATATGATTGTGGGCCTAGAACTGGTGGAAAAATTTCCAACGGGAGATGTTGCTAAGCAAAATGGTTAGCAGGAACATTTTCAACAGAAATGACTCAAAATCAAAATGGAATACTTATTTTAAAATTTCTAATTTAATTTAGTATTTAACATCTTGTTTAATTCAGACTTTCTTGTTTTGTTTTGACTTAAATTATATTAACTTATTTTGATGAGGTTCTTTCCAAACTGTATTGATTCAAAAATATTAAATATTTTGTTCCATAAAATATTTAATGTCTTTATTTAGGCCTAATTTGGGTCAGAAAAAAAAAATCAAGATTTTTTGCAGCACTGAAATTTCATTTCCCACCCAACTTTGTGCATTTCTAATACCCAGCTCAGGGAAGGTGCTAAATAGCCATAGATTTAGTCCCTAACAACAGAAGTAGAAATGCAGCTAACCTGAGACATCTGAATCAAGACCTAAACTTTCAACAAAAAAAAAAAAAAAAAAAGTTTAGACTTTAAAAGCCCTAATTATTTAAAAAAATAATTTCACATGAAATGTTTAAATGCATTTTTTATTCATTTTGTTTCTGTGGTTGACATTTAGTTCCTGCTATGTTCCAACAAAATATATACAACAATATTAAGAAAACACTGAAATAGTTACTATTGTGCTTTCCAGTAAGGAAACATTACTGCTTCATGACTGAAAATTAAGCCCGAGTCATTGTATCAATTATCAAACCAGTTAAAATGAAAGATGCTAAATTAAAATGATCTTTCCCCATATTGCAAATTTAAGTACATAATTCTAAATCTAATAAGTTAATGTAACCTGTGACAAGTTTGATGTAACCTGTTGAGGCAATCTGTTTTATCAGCAGGGAAAAGAGGGTAAATGCTATTGTCCTGGCTATCCAGTTCACCAGCTCCAAGGCTTCCTCAGGGAGAGGTGCTCTCAGAGAGGTTCTTTTTAGTTTAATTAGACTGCATCAATGTCTCTAGTTAGAAGAAATAACACTGAAACTGATTTGAAAAAAATAATTTAAATTTCAAGCTTTAATGTTAAAAGTAATACTCTGTCAAATAATGAGAAATCCTTTATGTGATCTTTCTACATTGTATAACAACATACTGACGGGCAGGTTGGAAAATGTTAAATGAGAGAGCTTAGGGAACACCTTATTTATAAAGGTCTACAATCCACTAGAGACAGAGTGAAATATCCAACCCCTTATCCTCATGCTGCATCACGTAATTTGGGGTTTGAGTGTGTCCTACTAAAACAGCCATTGATTCTGTAGGACAGTAGCACTCAATCTCTGTAAAATATAAGAATCTGTCATAGACCTTTTCCCCCTTCCTCTCCTTCAATAGGACACTTCCAACAAACAAGCCTTTAACTTTCTCTATTGGCACCCACACCTGCTCTCCTTGCAATGGATATTTTTTTCCCTTTGGGACCTGAACAACCTCCTTCATTTTGGTTGGAAGGTGTTTAAGCAACCAGCTGTTCCAGTGCTACAAGCCCAAGACTTCCTTGAAGTGGCTCTAGCCACAGAAGCAGGAAAGTACTTAATTTATTCAATCTCTCCTGACAAAATAAACCTTGTGAGTTTGTTGACTGAAGGATTTTGAAATGCTCATTCAGTTTAATAAAGTGTTGCAATTATAGTCAAGCATAAGACCTGAATATAATGCACATGGTATTAATCTACTTCTGTGAAGTGGAGATTACAGAACAGCTAATCACAAAAAGAAACAATTTTATTTTTTATTATAAGCAAAATACACTTTTTAGGAAAGTAATTCAAAATAACTATAACAGAAATTCACCTTTAAAGTAGTGTGATCCTGCTCCTGCATTTCATGCACACACAAAAAATCCCTTAGCTTTCCTGGAACTAATCCTGCATCTCATTAAAACAGAAGGAGTTTTGTTATTAGGTCAGTGAAAGCAAGATCAGTCTCTATGTGAAAGGAAAGCCTTAAGCCAGTATTTCTAAAAGTGGTCCCTAATTTTGGAACCTCTGATCTCTTCTCCTGTCATAATCACTGCTTATAGTAAAGTTACACCTGGTTTATATTTGTGCAAATTAGAGGGGACTCTTTAAAGCGGTTTAGGTGTCAAACTGAGGCAGCTGAAGTAGTAGACTTTTGAAAGTCTTGGCTCAAATTGATTAATCAACCCTGCAAGGGGTCGTGGTGCCCCTACAAGTACGTTTTGCTTCATTCTCATGTGCCAGTCAGCAACTCCACAGTATGTTGAACTAGCTAAATTCATTACATGCATCTGACTAGTAAAGCCTACAGTCAGTTAACTTTTAATGGGCTGAGTTGCTAGTTCATACTAAAAGTTTGTTATAGAGGAACCTGCATACAGCTGCTTGAAAAAAGTTACAAATTTCATAACATTGGAAATGTCAAAGTTGTTTCTGCTTGGCAGGGATCAAAATGGATTGTTAAAATATTAAAATAAAAAGATCTTGATGCTTTTAATCAATATTTGTGAAAATGGTGGTTAAGGAAATGTTATTGTAATGGTTATCAACAATTATTTCAATAAGATGTTATATTTTTATTAGAAATGAGACCAAATTAATGACATTTTAAATATGTCAAAAAGGCAAGTGTTTCTACAAAATAACCTTTTCATGGACACTAGCTTTTTTTTTTTTTAATCTTAATGATTTATACAAAGGAGAAGTTACTAAGCTAACCTTATAAGCTAAAAGATAACCTTTCATACAGAGTCCTATAACCCAACAAACTGACCAAACTCAGTGGGGTGAAAGTAAGTAATATAGCACATAAAAATTTAATGTAAAAGAAATGCTCTTGCTCATCTGCAGTCTGATTGCCCCTGAATTCTAAGGCTGGTGTGGGAGCAAGAAGAAATTAGTCCCAGTTAAACTGGAGGCCTTATTTAGCAAACAGTTGTAAAAGTGTGTGAAGATCTCAGTTGAATTGTTGAAATGAGTGACTTGAGTCAGCCAGTCATTAAGATTACATATGAAGGGCTTCTGTCTTTTAAGTGAGCTTTACTTTCTTTACTAAGTACCAGTCGGGTACTTAGTAGCTATCCTTGGAACTGTCAAAAGGTCAAATGTTAAGACTAAGCTGGTAATAAATATTATTTTCCACAAAATGTAGATTCTTCCTGTGAGTTGACTGGACTGCCACATAGAGTTAAGTCTACTGCAAAATGCGCTATTAAGCCCCTGATTGGAGCTTGGGAATTGTTTGATGTCAGGTCCCATCTTGAGTAATATTTTACAGCTTAACCTTGCTGTGGAGGGTCTCAGATCTCTTGACTGCTTGGCTGAAAAATATTATCAACAGAATCCTCTCTAACGCTTCCAAACGTGACAGGATGGAAATAGCATTGATTGCACTTTTCAGTACAAAGTAATCTTAGGTATAATTGTACTCCTAGGCTATTTTGATATGTTTCAGGGTTTTTTGTTGCATGTAGTGGTAACCGGTGAAAGTCACAACTAAGGTAAAAGAACACACATACTATACTCTAGTAGAACCAGCTTTGTATGCTTTGTGAGGGGCACAAGATGCTAGGAGGGATTAAGTCTGAGTTTTGCTGCTCTTTCTGGTCCCATTGGGATAGAGGGGATATCAAGTTGTTTCTTCACCCTCAAGTCCTGATGTCAGGGAAATGGATGGGTTAGCTGATGAATGGGACAGATCTTGAGTGGGATAAAAGATTTTCAAAAACTCTAGGCACAAAAAACCCCAAAACTGTTCATAGTGCTTTCCAGGCTGACATCAGAAAAAAAGATCAGCCTTCTGCTACCACTGCTGTGAATCACAGCTTTATTACAAGCCCACAGTTTCGTATTTCTTGTATTTCCTGTCCTTACATATTGGTAAGCTCATACAACAGTGGTGAAAGCTGTAGAAATACCTATAAATATAATTTTGCTAGGTTGCTTGGTTCTGCAGTCACTGACGTGCTCATTTTTCTTTTCTTCACACAAGCTTTGATATATCTCTCCTATTCTGTTAACTCAAAGGAACTAAATAAGATTGTAAAGAAGAGAAAAAGAAGGATTGGGGATTTCTGTGAAATACTGTATCCTATCTCCTTCTAGACTTCCCCACACAGGTGCATTCTAGGACTTTACAACTGAGAAGAAGGCAGGATTAAAAAACTGCTTCCCAAAGCATGACCCTCTTCAAACTACAGGGTTATTGCAGTAGATCATGATGAGCTTTTAGGGTGCATGGGAAGCTGAAATCATCTCAAAATTCTTGAGAGCAGACATGAAGAATAGTTTGAAAACCACTGAAACTGCCATAGGGGAAGGATGTGGTGTACTGAAAGGTTGACTCCTTTGGTTGGCCCCAAACAACAGGCTCCATGGCCCACCTGTTGGATTTTTCAAATAAATATTTTTATATTGCCTTTTTCAGTACTCTCCTTTGCCGTGATGCCTGCAAACACCTTGTGCCTATCATGCTGATCAATATTCTCTTAGTGTTTCCTTGCAGAACCCCCATCCATCTGCTTTTATTTATTTATTTATTTTTGTATTGTACTTGGATTATAAACTCTGACAGAGGTCATTTTTTATATTCTGTTTTGCTTAGTGCCTGGTAGAGTAGAATCCTGGTTGGGATTCCTAGGCACTACGACACTTCTACTACCTACAGTAGCTGGGGTTGTGGCCCTATTTAGGCTTGCACCAAAGTACCCCGTGTCCACCTGGAAGCAGCAGGGAGCACAACTCTGCACTACTGTCGCTGCTGCTACCAGGCAGGCAGAGGGCACCTCGCCATGGCGTCATGGCCAGCATGGCGAACCTAGCAGAACCCAGCAGTGGCTTCCCCACCCTCCCACACTGGGTCCCATGCTCTGTGCCGTGAAGGCCCCAGGGGGAAGGCAACAGAGCAGGGAGCCCTAAGCCTGCAGTGGGCAGCCTGTAGCCTCCCCACCACAGACTCTGCTCCAGCCTGCCACCCGCAGGGGCAAAGAGGCGGGGAGCCAGGCTCTGGGCGGGGCAGGGCCTGTGGGTGGGGAGTGAGGAGCACGTGGGGGTGGGGCATGCTGAGGAAA